CCTCCTGGAAGCCGAAGCGCCGCACGAACTCCAACGACTTCCGCGCCCTCCTGGGCTCCGCGGGATCTGGCTTGGTAACGATCCCGTTTTCCTGCTTCTACTCCTTTTTTTCCCTTTTTTTCCAATTKTTTTTTTTGATGCTGGAGGAGAGGGAAGGATGGGTGGGAACACCAGGGGGGAATCCCAGCGGATTCTGGCACTGGGAAAGCGCCGGAACCGTGGAAAAGCTCCAGAATTCCCAGAGAAAAGGCTGTGGAATGAGCAGAAAAGGCCCTGGAATTGTCGGGGAAGGGCCGGAATTCCCGACCGTGCCTCTCCCTCCTCAGGGTGACGCAGAATTCCAGCGGATCATGGCCGTGGTGGATCCCAACGGCAGCGGCASCGTGACATTCCAGGCCTTCATCGACTTCATGTCACGGGAGACGACGGACACGGACACGGCGGAGCAGGTGATCAACAGCTTCCGCGTCCTGGCCGGGGACAAGGTGAGCAAATCCGGGATCTGGGAATGCCATGGGGGAACTGTGGGGATTTGGGAAYGGGGGAGTGGGATCTGGGATGGGAATGGCAGGATTGGAGAGTTCTGTGGGGTTTGGGAATGGCGTGATGACCTTTGGGGATGGGGAAGGGTGCAGTGGGGTCCCCTGGTGGGATTTGGGAATTGCAGGGTGGGATTTGGGGAACAAGCCCCATCTGGGATTTGTACTGGTGGATTGAGGTTTGGGAATTGCATGGTGGGATTTGGGGGGATAATCCCCATCTGGGGTTTGGACCGGTGGACTGAGGTTTGGGAATTCCACGGCGGGATCGATGGACCGGTGGATTGAGGTTTGGGAATTCCACGGTGGGATCGATGGACCTGTAGATTGAAGTTTGGGAATTCCATGGCGGGATCGATGGACTGGTGGATTGAGGTTTGGGAATTGCAGGGTGGGATTTGGGGGGATAATCCCCAGCTGGGATTTGGACCGGTGGATTGAGGTTTGGGAATTGGAGGATGTGATTTGGGGAACAAACCCCAGCTGGGATTTGGACCAGTGGATTGAGGTTTGGGAATTCCACGGTGGGATCGATGGACCGGTGGATTGAGGTTTGGGAATTCCACGGTGGGATCGATGGACCAGTAGATTGAGGTTTGGGAATTCCACGGCGGGATCGATGACCCCGTGGGCTGCACTCTCCCATTTCCCATTTTTACCATTTTCCCCCCGTTCCTCCCCAGAATTACATCACGGCAGCCGAGCTGCGGCGGGAGCTGCCGGCGGCGCAGGCCGAGTACTGCATCGCCCGCATGGCGCCGTACCCCGGCCCCGACGGCGTCCCGGGAGCCCTGGACTACAAATCCTTCTCCACCGCGCTGTACGGCGAGAGCGACCTCTGACCGGGACCCCCGGGACCCCCGGGACCCGCCCGCCCCCCCCGCCTCCTACTATGCAACAGTTGATTGATCTTGGGATATTTCGGGATGCCGTTCCCACTTTTCCTCGGGCTCGGGGGGCTCTCGCCTCCCGCGGGGCCTCGCAGCGCCCGGAAATGGTTATTTTTGGTAACGAGAGAGAGAGAAAGAGAGAAAAAGAGAGAAAAAGAGAGAAATTCCCACTATTTTTCACGGGATCAGCGGCGCAGCCCGAGGGTTCCCTCTCCCCCCGCACCCCG